GAAATGTTTTTTTCTTTTTCCTCGCCACCAAACGATTCGTCAGCGAGGAGGTACTCCAGTTCATTAACCATAGGCAAATGCATACCAGGAAAATGAAATGTACTCGGAGAGTAAGAGATAGAGGAGAATCGAGAATATCGAGACTCGAACTATATCAATATTATCTAGTCAAACTGAGAGACTCCCGCTGTTATCCTTACGGCAGATGCATTTTACGGCCCTCCATACTGCATCGTTTTTGAACGCACCTGGTAAATAAAATGACTGGAAATTTCTCTTTTAGTTAGGGTAAAACAGCAAAACTCCAACTGAAGGTTGAGTCGAACGCACATTCGCGCAGTTGACTTAATCTTAAAATTTCTACGTTCGATTGAACCCTCAGGTGTTCGAGTTTTGCTATTTTATACCTTACAAAATGAAGTTGACAGCGGGTGAGGGAACAGGGAAGAACTACAGAGGCAGAATAGAGCATCCCCACCTTTTCATGCGATTGACGGCTTACGCAGATACGGCCAGTCATCATTGAAACTACTAATGACTTACAATAATGACCAGTCAGACTCTCGTTCCCCAAGAATGTCATCGTCAATAGCCTCACAGCATTTCCCACAAAATGCGGTCATAAACACCGAAAGGGTGCGATGGATTATTGAGGCAATTGAAAAGAAGGTAGCGCACTATAATGAAAAATGAATGTGGAGGCGGGAAAGAGAGAGAGAGAAAAAAAAAGAAAGGAAGACAGAAGGGACGGGGAGGTGAAGAAGAAGGGGAAAGTGTATGAAGGATAAAGAGAGTGGGTGAATTATGAGACACCCGCCTCGCCTCGCCTCCGTTACAACGGCCTGTAATGAGGAAGTCCTGCTGCAATCTACATCCCACCCCACCACAAATTCAAGTTTTCTTAATTGTACGATATGAGGGATGTCCCGCCTACGCAGTGTGTTCCGCGGTAAACCTCATCAACGACGAAAAAAGATGCGATCGAGGTTTCCTCCTAAACGGAGACCATTTCTCCGCAAGACAGGGCTTTTCTACTTGGCTCGATAACTCTCTGGAATCCATCCGACTCGGTTCAATGCCCACTCAAAGGGATAGATAACCAACTAGACTTTCCAAACCTCAAGTGTTGAAATGTTCAGCCGAGTCAAGCCATTCGAAAGATCGAAATTCGGTAAACTAGCTTTCTTGCTTCTTGCTTTCCAGGTAGTCATAAGTGACATTATTGGCGTCACTTATACGACTCACCGCAGTATGAAATTCCACCCGAGTGTTGGACTTGTTGCTAGCGGCCCTATTTTTCCGGGTCACTGTGCTTCCTCCTCCTGAATATTGCCGGTCGAAAAGTCATTCACAATCTGTAGGACAATTATATCTGGGCCACTGCTCCGAAAATATCCGTTAGTCATGCCGTATTAACCGCGCACAGAAAGCTAAATTCAAGAGGTGTGAAAGAGGGCGGATTTGCTTAATTTAAAAAGGCTCAAATATGACTATGAAATGTGACAAATTAAATCGTCAAATGAATGAAATAATGACCTTATATTTCGATAGCGAACCAAGCCAAGATTTCCTCGAACTGGGAAGGGGTGGAGTAGGAGCAAATTCGTGAAAAACGGGAGGAGAGGAATCAACTGGGGGGAAATCACAGACGCGAGGACACGAAAGTCTTGCAGGGAAAATACATAACACCAAATAATATCAACATATGATCGTATTCCTTCGAACATGACCAAAAGGTTATACCAAATATGAGCACATTCATGAAATAAGACTTAATAAGACCTTAAGATATGTTAATCCCACTGGTGCCAAGAATCCATCCAGTATATGCAGATGCATGTGCAGGAAATAGAAAAATTATGGCTTTACCTGGAATTCCACCCTCTAGTAATAGATACATAGCTTCACAAGCTGCCGTAATTCGAACCACACACATTGGGGATGCTCCTAAGTAGGTCATCTCGATTCCACAAATTATAGGAATAAAGGAGGAGCGAAGGAAAACGAAGAGGCAAAGCAAATTTATGTTTTTCTCTGTCTCAGAAAGTATTCCGCGTATGAATCTCCCCCACACCTTCATTTTCTTTCCCAGAGATTGGTTTCCATCCGGGTTTCTCGATACTGCATCTATCCACACTAGGCTACCCGCCACTATAACAGCTGAGCCAGTTGCGACACTGTTCTGATTGCAATTGCATTGTGTGTGCGTGCGTGCTGAGCGCTACGCTTTCGAGCCGTGGTCCAGGGCATACGTCGCGGCTCATGGGAATACTTCACGCGAGGCATCAAAGAAAACGGGAGACACCCGGTCTCGGAAACGTTCGAATTGGAAGCACAAAAGAAGGCGAGCTCCGTCCGCATTTTCAAAATCATCGACAAACAGCACATACAGAGTGTATGTGAGCGCCTTTGAAAAGTTCTCATGAGTAATGACCCATAACCATCGTTACTAGGGTTGAGTAGAAGAGAATTACAAGATGACAAGAGTGTACCCCTGACCCCCTCCATGTCACCATCCCATCAAACGCGATCTTTTTAACCCTCATTTTGATAGAAGCAAGAGAGCTGATTAAACTTAAGAGCTGCTGTCGTTGCATCACTCTCCCCTTATTTTCCTGAAGGTTGCTCGTCATCAAGAGACGGACTCTTGCTTCTGAGCGACACGCACTGAAGGGGAAGCTTTCAACACACCTCTCATCTTAAACAGTTCCCGTCTGGACAATGGGAAGGGCTCCACTTTATATCTTCTTCCAATGCCAGTCATTGTTCGCTGCACGTCTTGAACATTAGGTTCATATTCGTTCACAACATATAATTAAGAAGATGGAATATAAAAGTTTGGGGTCGTGACATGGATTATGGAAATGAAATATTGACTGCAGGCAGGGAAAGCTTTAAGGGAAAGGCTTAACTTAGGAACGAACTGAAAATACGATTGATCTATGTTGACTTCATTGCTATAATGGGGATGGGGACATTCCATCTTGAGCGGCTTTAATGATGCCCAACTTTTTATTGCAATTGTATTTTATCCTTAAATGATCTGATATGTAGGACTACAATTCAGAGACTAAATTTTACAGACTTATACCAGAATCTCCAAATTAAGTATCTGCTACCTGACACCCTTTTCCATTAATCCCCTAAAACTACTTCTATGTCATCTCAGAGATGCATTAATGTGGTATATTTAATCGAATTTCCTTCCATTTCAGGTCTTGTTTGCACTGTGGGGAGCACTGAAGACTATCCTCAGTGCCTCAGAAGAAGCCATCCTTTTCATCATCTTTCCTCCTTTCTGGTAAGTTCTTAGTTGACGAAGTTAATATAAAGCACGGCTGTATGATTTTTTTTTTGCTCACAGCAATAGCCAGTCATCATTCTGCAAATCCAAACCAGTATGAGAGAAGCTCATGGATACGTAAGAACTACAGGGTACAAAAATCTATTCTTTAACACTTTCACTCTGGAGGTTTGGTGACTGAGGTTATTCTGAGGTCAATCAAAATATTCATAACTTCGGAACACAAAATGATGGAGACTTCCTCTTTTTTTTTTTAATTGAAGTTTAAGTTCTCTATTTTATTGTGTTAAATTATTTCATTATCAGAAAATTTTGAAAGGATGTAATATTACTTCCACTATTGTCCGATGGTAGGACTGGACATACAATTACATCTATTGGATCAAAAGTGTTAACCCTTCAAGCATTAAGTTTTGATTTGCCCTCCTAAGTGATGATTGTAGAGAGTACATGAAAACTGCCTGAAAGGTTAAAAGGATCTTCATATGCAGTAAATTCATGAATATTGGGTGACATGTTGGTACCAACACAAAATTTGTATCATTCATAGTCAGCACTGAAAAACCTGGGTTTTCTTTTACACAACCAAATGAAAATGTGGTTTTCTGTGGAAAAACTGAACAAAATTTGTCCAATTTTTTACAATAAAAAAATTAAATGCCTAGACTATTATAATGAAATTTCTGCTAAAAATAAATTAGATTTAGATCAGGAAGAGTACTATTATACAATGCAAATTCTAAATTTCAAGTGGATCAAGGGGATTTATCTAAGGATAATGAACATTTGCATATTGTTTTGTGTGCAAAACGGCATTGGAGCCCTACTCTCAACTGAGAGCTTTTCTACTTTTGAAGTGGTCTTGGTAGTACTAAGACACCCACATATCATCAACAATCTGACAAAAAGGGAAAAAAATTACACTTTTGACCATTTCCAAGAGGGAAACAATTAGCCCTTCTTTTGGGGTATAGAATAAGAACTGTGAAATGTTTGACTTAGCACCAGGAAGTTGAATGTCTCAGATTTCTAGTGGAAATTGGAAGATTTTGAATGCATCATTCCCCAGTCTGAAGAAGGCAAATTCTTGCTCTTCTGGGGGGAATAAGTAGCCAGAGAAACTTTAAAAAGTATATCCTGCCTCCACAGCTGTGGGAAACCAGCTCAGTTTATTGTTAGCAACAGCGATTGAAATTTGCTGCCTAATAATTTTTGCATCATCTGCATTACATGGTTTTTTACATGCTTTAAACAGTGAGCATGGAAACTGCCAACCCAGATAATGGTACCAGCTCTAATTTTTGGTACCTATGCTATGTGATAGCATATTGGTAGCCCGTAGAGGTTGGAAGAAACAAGTTTCCATTTCTGGATTGAATGGAATGAGGCTTAATTGTTGAAATGCCTCCAGAACAAATGCAACTCTATTCTTGAAATATTTTTATGGCACCCATTCCAAGCACTGAAGCAAATAACCAAAACAATCTTAAAAGGAAAAATTCCTGGTTTTGTAAAATATTTCCAATGTAACAGAGAAATCTCACGCACTTACTTTCCAGCCATGCAACTTTTCGTGATTTATATTTTAAAAATGGTCAATTATAATTTCAGCCAATACTTGTCAATGAAAAAGGAGACACGAGTACTGTTAAAATATGTGATAATGACAGAGGTCTGAAAATAAGTGTTTGCCTACCTCCACAGTCATAGATCCCATGATGGCTCTCTGATGACCTTCAAGAGTCTCAAGTGCCACCTGCCTGATTTCTTCATCACTCTTACCCAAGAAAAGCTGGCATGCAGTTAGGAGCATCTCCTCGTTCTGTCCCTGAATTTTTACCTATAGTACCAAAACAATCACAGCCATGAAGGAGAAAAAAAGATAGAAAGTAACTTGAAAAATCAGTCCAAGGCAATAGGGCATTCTACAAGATACAAAGCTGTACATCAAGGCTGAAAGGATTTTAACAAAAAATCACTTTCAAGAGTCCACAACAGTATATAAACTTGTACCAGACTCATTGCTGACTGATGCAGCAATTTCTTATTGACACATCATTCATACCCCTACATTGCCTTCTGCTACATAAGACCCCAATAATACTCTGGATTATTACAATTACAAAATGTCAAGAAAACTCATTCAGATCATAATTCTACATCATTGAAATGACTTGAAATGGTTCACCTGAAATGAAGGCTCATAGCACAAATTTAAATATGCAGTGCAATCAATAAATAATGAGAATGATTTGTCTGCACCAAAATGCAAGCACTTGCAAGCGAAATGCAGCAACAGTATCTTTGCCTGGACTGTGAGAAGCAACTGGTGTGATTGGGTTTAAGATTGTACCATTCAGTTGGAAGCCAGATGTCAATAAGTGAGGGTGTGTTTTAGGAACGTGGCAGATTTTCGCAATGTCGAACTTGCAGGAGCAACACATGGCAATTAAGTTTTGCATGAAACTCAGTAAAACCGGGAAAGAAACCCATGAAATGTTGGTGCAAGCCTACGGGGATGATGCCATGAGTCAGGATCAGACATACCAGTGGGTTTCCCAATTCTGCAAAGGTCAAACATCAGTCAAAGACAAACACTTTGCATTCTTTGTGCTTTGGTGTCAGGAGGCATGGCATAAACTTGGCTGACACATGCTGCATTCCTAAGTCCTCCATCACAATTTGCTGGCAGGTGCCAAAAGAAATGTTCATATCCACACTAATCTCTCAGATGGTTAGGTGCCGATTTTCCCAAATCATATTCCTCACCTGCTCCACATTGTCATTGGTATGGGCTGGAATAGGTCATCCTGGATGTGGGTCATCTTCAACTGATGTTTGACCACTACAGAATTGGGAGATCCACTGGTATATCTGATAGCATTTCTTTGGGAATAATGTAAACTTAGTTTACTGGATTCTCTTAAAAACTCATTTTAAAAAACAATTTTGCGAATTTGCTGCATGTTGCTCATAACCATAAGGTAAAACCATTTAAATTCAGAGAGTACCTAAGTTCGGACACTATTAAGTATGTTGTTTAAATACTGACATTTATCATGTCAGTATCTAAATATCAACTCACAAAAAAAGGGATTAGAAGAAAAAACTCACCTGTGCAACACCAATCACAGACAAGGGTACCCCCTGGGCTGTATAGACTTTTGGTGACTCCACCTGTAGAGTCATGGTGTTCAAGCTCAGTCTGCAAAGACATTATATTTAAGGTATCAATTAAATTCCCAAATATAAGCTTAACCTTATTTAGCCTACTCCAGCAATCATGAAGCTGAAGCCTGAATTCAAAAGTAACATGAAGTTTAACAAAAGTTAGAGTGATGTACAAAATGATGACTTATTTTTTAAATTAAAACAGTAATTTTTATAAGTATGCATTGTTATTAGCACATTTTGAAGGAGTGCTGCTCTAAATTTTTTCTTCCCACTAAGGTTCGATCAGGCTAGATGACATCAGCCAAGTTGGCCCCTAACCAACAACCCTGCATTTTGGCACTTGCACACTGAAGATGGGTTCAAGAGAATGGTTCTCTTGTAGAAGTGTGCAGTAATGTTTTTTTTTGCTGAAACCAACTCCTGCATGGGTCACCATACTACATTTGAATTCATAATTTAAGAATGAGAGGACTGTGTTAGAGCTAAAACAACAATGACCCAAGACTGTGATGAGAATAACACAGCCCTCCCAATCTTAAATTGTGAAAGCAAATGCAGGAACTTGACAACAGTTAAAAAAGAGGTACAGAATTGCCTTCCAAGCTTCAGGAACATTTTCAGTTTTTGGCAAGTTACACCACCTTGCTCTGTTCTTCAAGAAACAACCATTGTCTCAAAGACATCTTCCATAAGCATTATAGGCATAGCATGGATGGAAAAAGTGGGGGGGGAGGGGGCACAGGAACTCTGGAATACTGTTATCGTGTATTTCATGAGTCTTTTCCTTCTTTTTTTGGCTTCTTTTCTTGAAAAGTGGGGAGCATGTGTACCCCTGGCCCCCTCAATGTTATGCTGCTGACAAGCATGCCCCAAAATGAGGTTTTCAAATAGGTCTGGCATTACTCAGACATCATCCACCCTAGCAGCACCATGAAAAAAAAAAAGCCTTCCAAGCAACCCTCACCCTCTCTCAAGAAACACTTGCATTAAATATTTACATATGACTGCATTATTTTCATGAAGGAAACATATGTATTGTTATTTTGCACATCACTCTAAGAGTAACCAGTATGCACTAAGTATTTCACACAGTGATTATTGCTGATGCTCTATGCCCATGGCTTTTCTAATGTCACTTCAGATCAGAGATATGCTAGAGAAATGGAGCAGCTCATACCTTTGACATTTGTGGACAAATGGCCACACAAAAGCCCGTCCTCCTGGAACTAGGTGAGGTTTTCCATAACACAGGCCTGTTTCAAGAAGAATTTAATATAAAACAAAGGCACACATGCATAAATTTTGAGTAGACTACGAAGGACACAATACAAACTGACAACTGAGCATAGTGAGGTTAAGCATCTACTAACTAGAGAGAAGTAATTGTAGTACAGTAGAACAGTACTGTAGTAGTACAGATTAGTTATGCTCTAAATGTTTTCACTTGACTCCAACATATATGCATGCCATTGGTAGATGTTGGGGATCAACTGAAAACATGCTCTACTCAAAACATAAAAATAAACATATATTACATTTGACTTTAGAATACTTCTAATGCCAAAAATTATCACCTGAGATGACAAGAGTCTCATTCGGTCCACAGGTGACAAATCCCCAGCCCATGTTGTCTCAGTCAAAGAAAAAACTCTTATCTCAATTTGTCACTCTTTGGATATCCTCCTGAGGGCAGGCTATGGGCCAAGATTAGTATCACCACATGCTGCACCCCACTCCTGATTGTTGGAATCTCTTTCTCCTCACTAGCTACTAGGGTCAGGCCTTCCCTTATTACTGCATCACTCAAGATTTGATCATCCAAATCTGAAATATAAAACAAGCCCAAGTCTAACTCTAATGCAGTTATTAGCATAGGTCCTCTCATTCCTGAAGCCTAGATGCAGCAATTTAGGTGCAGGTTAGGCCTAGGCCAAGAGGGTCCATCATATTTGAGTGCCGTATGGTGATACTTAGATGCTTAAGCCTGGGTCTAGTCGCCTAAGCTTGCCACATGATTCAACTAGGTATGCTAAGCGTAACATACTCCCTCGACTTCAGATTCATAAAGCCTAGGCATATCATAGGTTAACCTACATGTAGAGTTCGACTCTCCGTTATTTTTCACCTGCATGAACAATCCTGACCCCTGTAGTAATGTTTCTTTAAACAAACACCACGAGCCTAGGTTTCAACATGTAACGCAAATCTAGACCTGAAAGAGGCATAACTTTTCCTAGCCTGGCACTTGGTGAGGGTGACGAGATCATCCACTTCTGCCACTGACAGAATTTTCAGCGTGCGATGAAAAGTGCAGGAGGAAATGCCACAAGAAGGCCAATAACAGTCAGACTTCGATGCCTCCCGAGTTAATACATGCCTAGGCTTGATCCTGCGCCGATAGTCGAAAAGCGTAACAGTGCGACATCTAACGATTAAAGGACAAGTTATCACGTGAGTCTGATGGAGATTACTTCTGACGCGTTCAGTATCGTACGGCATTGACATCATCTCCGTTCCTTCCCACGCTCTTGTGGCTGCATCGCAGTAGACTATTCGAGCTCACATGATTCATCCCATACGTGATAAAATCGCTCATAGAACGTAAATGCCTAAAAATGGTGAGAACGGGAAATGCGGCCATGAGAAAGCAGAGAAAAGGCAGTCATATTTGCTGGGTAGCTTGGTAAATCAAGTCTCCCAAGGTGGTCCTACTTCTACTTTTTTCTGAGAAATTTATGATCTTATGTGGTTCTATGATTTATGGGGATTTGGAATATCCCAATCGAGAACTGTGATTGCGTATGATTGACTTATCGTGCATATCGTTAAATGCTGTCATGTATCCCTTAGGAAATTAGACGTATTATCGGCAATCAACAGCATTTCATTATATATTATACATTTCACCTCTTCCATGATCTCATGATCTCCTTTCCATTGAAGTTCCACTAAAAAGTTCATCCGCGGTGGTCATGTTGAATCTGAAACATTCAGTGCCAACCATCACACCATTGCCCTATAATCATTTTCTCAAATTTAATACCAAAATTTTGTAACTTTGAGGTCTCTCGGGCCTCAGTTAATGTCAGAGCCATGCAATGGCGCACTGAAACTAAAGTCAGGAAAATCAACCTTTAGCGAGTCTGACGTGAGAAATTTTGCTCGAAGGAATACCCAAACGCTCTATTCTCATTGAAAATAATGAAAGATTGTGCTCTAATGGATCAAATGAACCATCTCATTAATTTTCTTGCTCGCTGAAAATGAAACTCTGCAATCGCCCTCAATCGTCATATATACAGTATGTTAGGTTGCCAACTCTTCCGGTTTGACTGGGAGACTTCCGGCTTCATCCCCTTTCTTCCGACCACTTAGTAAAGTAAGCCGGGAGACCGGAATTCTCTCCGCAGAATAACCAATTTAGCCCCCTAAAATGAAATCTCTAGGTCTAGCTTTAGGAAAAGTTGGCATTCCAACATAAATGAGATGATTTTCCCAAAAGTAGTTGCGCAACAAAGGCACATTGTATCACTTGGGTCATTTCTCATACAGCGGCAGTAATTTGAAATGCCATTCCGCAATAGAAACTAATAGGAGATGAGGCGCGGTCCAGTCCCGATGATTGTTCCTCCCGCGCAGAGAAAGTCCCTCCCATATGTATTCTATTGCAGTGATTAAGAACTTCTGGCACGCGTTTTCCAAATGGCACGCGACTTCATTTTTCTCGGCACGGAATGGAATATTGACAAACATGAAGATAGACAAAATATGTTACTAAAAGAAACATAAATTCGAAACTTAGATTTGTGAATGGTTGAGAGGAAGCATAAAAATCCCTTATATCTAGCATTCATAACAAGCGGGATTCAGGACAGGGAAACTTGTCTGAAACAGATAGAGGGGCAAATCAATTCTTCTCTCCGGCAATCCTGGTTGCCCTCACTTATACGTCAAAATCCAATCTTCAGTATATCAGAAAATCCTTCAAATTCTTACATCTTACATGGAAAGTTCAAAGCGCGAAGACCGCGCAAGCCTCCTGAAACTGGATATTAAATGCATCTGCTGTGAACTTGATTACTTTTTTCTTACAGTATTGATCGCAGGAAGTTCTGTGAACTGCATCTACTACTAATTTCCGTCAAACCTCGCAAGCGATGATCGAACGCTGAGCCTACGTCCCGATGCAAGAACCCCAGCCTGTCAGAAAATTTTTCAAAAATCACATTTGATTGCACTCAGGATATATCCAGTAAATCCAGGAGTTCGTGCTGGCATAGATGCCACCCTACTTCATACCTTACTTCCATTATATCCAATGAAGTAAGGGTTGCGCCGAAAGATGGTCTCAACTGAGCAAGACCTTCATGGACTGATACAGGTATGACTGGAGGAGATTGTTCTTTGAACTGGTGGCCATGGAATCGTAGTGGAAGCGAACGAGTCCTGCTTTCGTCGTCGCAAATGTAACGGAGACCAAGTTCGTCTCGTTCAAAGCAATGTTGGTAGCACTGACAGACAAAGCAAGCGTGCAACTTCTCAGACAGATGCTCCATCTCTGACTAATCTTGATGTTGTGTCTTGAATCAGGCGACTATGATAACTGACAGTTGGCGAGGCTACAAGAGATTCTTCCAAGGAGGATATAATCTAGTCGACTGTACTCTAGCATTGCCGATTTAGAAAGCGAGGGTGGTTTTTGCTTTTTCTGCTATACAGAGTGGATTTTACGGCGTGAATTTATATGGTTTCTGAAGAGAAGAGGGGAAAATACCGAAAACGAATATTTTGAAGGCTTGGAATTCTGCCTGTCACTTCAGTTCTTTGGTAGAGCTCGATGCGGCATTACTTGCACTCTTCGTCTTTTTTTTTTCAAAGAATGCTGCGTTTCATTCAATATAAATCAGAATGATGCAATGTCCTGGAGTATGAAGCGAGTGCTACTCGTGTGGCTCCGACCCAACCAAGTACCAATCATGATTTGAAAAACTATCAGGAAGAAATGCTCCAGCAGATATTCCATTAAGACTGGCACTAGAGACCCTGAAAAGTCTGATTTTGTTGTTTTGTGTTACGTGAAATCAAAAAGTTCGCCATGCACTGCCCCTATCTCTCTCAATACCATAAATTTCCGTGCGATTGATTTACTCCCAGGGAAGTCGTGGATTTCGTCATGTGCGATATCTTGTTTGAAACACACGATTTCCGAGCGGTGCTGCTCTCTTTTATATAACTAGTGGCTTCTTCGGGCTCTTTCAGGGTTCGTTTCACGTTAGAAGAGCAGTTGAGTTTCTCGTCCTGATACAATGAATGACTTCCAATCCGAGGAATGGGGAGAAGTGCGTCTTCTGCCCTTCCTTTTTCCCTCAAAGCACCGAATGAACAGAGCTCTTGCAGAGTCATTCCTACAGTTCCCCCCCAAGTTGCCTATTGCATGGCGTATTTCCTATGAATTTTAATGCACTCCAGGTGGAAGATAGACAATTCTCTGGGGATGAAGTCGACTTTGATCCAGGACTTAAATCACTTCGAATTCACATGGTCGTTTGGCGCTCTTGAGGTTCACGAGAAATTGACGAAAACCATAAACAGGACGCTGCCATCTTACTATTCAGCATACGCAATTAATCATGTATACACCCAGCAATAATTGGCCTCTTCGCGTTGCATGGCAACAAGCAACCGATACATACAAAGTGCGTCTGCACCTGTGGGATCTGCCGACTATTATGGCTCCCCTGTTCCAGTGATGCACAACCTTTTCCCCCTAGAGGGCCAAATTGAGATTTCGGCTCATTTTCGAGGGGTTCGAGGGCCGCAGGCCATTGAACATGAGCCGAAATAGACCGCATATAGATATGGATCTTTAGAGACCGAAGGCATCCAAGGGGCCGCAAAAAAGGTCTCCGCGGGCCGCAGGTTGTGCATTACTGCTCTAAGGGTTAGAGGCTCTGTTATTCGATTCTTATTAGTGCAAACTATTTACCGTCTTGAAGCAAACTTACCTGACGAACTGTTTCTTTTTTCATAGCCAAATTACCTCCTTGTATTTCCTTTTATTCAATATTTCCCAAACTGAAAATCATATTTTTCAGTAAAATAAAAGCCTGCCGAACCTCTTGCGATGCAGCCCAGCTGATGCCTCCCCAGTCCATGTCGAGAACCACTGCTTCATTGAAGCCAACATGATCCTTATTTTTTCTTTCGTCTGCATCTTTCTGTTCACCGCAAAATGTATTTATTCCTGTATCCGTTTAATGTCCCTTGTCCACTATTTTTCATTTGGACTACATCTGCTGTCCGATGCAGATGTCAAACACTTTGGGAAAGCAGGCACAACCTATTGCGTCTACACACACAATGTCCTAGTGTGACCACTGTGAAAGAGGCACCAATCGCAAGTGCGCCGTGTTTGGTGTCACGGGAAGGAGAAAGGAAATCTCACTCCACAGGTGTGAGCGTTCTATTGTGGAAGGATTTTACAACCCTAACAAAAAAAAGTTCCATGATTTTACTTGACATTTTGTATTCTCATAGTTAATCATAGTGCTGGAAGTTCTTTTCTTTTCTAGCTTCCCACTCCTAACTTATACGTTCGAGATCTGCCATAAACTCTATTGCAAATACAATAATTAAGGGCTCTGAGAATTCCACAAGTTTTATCCGTAACGATCCAGTACTTCTAAAAATCTGGTAGTTTGTAATTTGGGATCGTACTGCATTGTTCTTGCTCTCTCAACGCTTCCAACAGACCGATAAAATGTAAAAATTAAAGCAAAAGTATCGACAGATAATGGATTCGATTCACAATAGGAGACCTTA